GTGTGTGTGTGTGTGTGTGTGTGTGTGTGTGTGTGTGTGTGTGTGTGAGAGAGAGAGAGAGAGAGAGAATAGGTGAGTGAATATATTAGTGAGCAGATTAAAGTGGCACTGAATAACTGCATGGATGGGTAATATGTGAGTGGGTAGATGAATTTTTGAACAACTGGAGTACCATTGTATAAACAAAAATGACCAAAAACTTAGTTCATGTTTCTGCCCTAATGTAAGTGGACATAATTTTGCTGAAGTGAATAGGACTGAATTTAATCCACTGACAACAATAATCATGGGTAAAGGACAAGTTTCAGCACCCAGGGAAAATATAAGACCACCCAAGGTAACTTTTTCAAAAGTGATTTAGGTACCTAGGAACCTAAATCTTATTAAATGTCAATGAGACTTAAGCCATAAAAATGGGACTTAGCTACAAATGAAAATTTAACCTTCAGTCTTAGAAAGAGGAATGGGAAAGGTGTAAAAGAATTAGCAGTTGTAATGTACTAGAACAATAGCCTTTTAGAAATGGAGATCTGAGTTCCATGTGAGAACTGGCCAAAGGTTGAAATGATTTTGCTGGGAAAAGTATAATCCCTTAGTAGAAGCATAATGCTATCAACAGTTTTGTCCTCAAATCAATTTGTGACCTTTACTTAAAAGAAACCTAGGACTGGAGTATTTTTTATTTTAAATCCTGCCTTTATCACATGACAATTATTTTCATTCATTAACTCCATGCAAGCTACACAAACACAACACAAATTTAAAGTAAAACTGCACTATTAATCCATTCTTACCTTCCTGATGCCTTCAGAAGGGTTCGATACACAGTTATCTGCCCCATTATTTTTACTGATTGTCCTCCAAAGTTCAGCAAATGTGTTATCCTGCTCCAAAGGGTTTGTCCCTTTTGCTTTGAAGTATTCATAGACTGCTGAATCCCTGACAGTACCGTAAGACATATCCATTTGTTTGGACAGATCTTGAAATGTTCTGAAATTCAAGAGATGTTGAAATATTAGTGTTAACTGGTACAATAGAGAGATTTTATTAGTTAAATGATCTCCCTTTATGGCTGTCTTTAGAGAGAAACAAAACACCTACCATCAATCAGTCTCATTTGCATGTCTCTCTTTTATCATAAAAGGAACCCAAAGTGTAATTCAGCTGCACTGAAATCATACGAGGTTTAATTTTACCTGAGTTCTTTTAGTGAAGAGGTTTATTTGGAAGAGATAACATTCATTCTGATGCCCATCAACATATTGAAATCATGTTGCTATGCTTGTGCAAGAGCACAGAGCAATCAAGTTTTATTAAAGCATGTGGAAAACAATGTTTAAAGATATAGGTCAAAATCAGCTCTCATTTAAATCTGTGTAAATAGGGAGTAATTCCACTGAAATTAGTGGAGTTACTCTGGATTCACACCAGTGTACAATTGGGCCAAAAATCAATACACTAACTTTAAATGTATATAGAGCATTACATTCCAAATCTCAGCAGCCCCCAATCAAATAAACAATTTTCATATACCCACACACTGGGCCTAATTCTTATTTACGCTAAAGTTGCTTTATATCACTCTGACAGTGCAAAGGGGCCTTAAAGGGTATGTCTACACTGCAGCTGGAAGTGTGCCTCCCAGCTTAGGTAGGCAGATAAACACTATCTCCATTCGAGCAAGCTTGCTAAAAATAGTGGTAGGGACATTGTGGTACAGGTTAGCCTCCCAAGCACTAGTCTGCCCAACCCCCTGGGTCCGAGCTGAGGTGGTGAGCCCACGCCACAGCCTGTGCTGCAATAGCCACGTTATAATTTTTAGCATGCTAGTTCAAGCGGAGCTAGCATACATCTCTCTACCTAGGCTGGGAGGCACACTCCCAGCTGCAGTAGAAACATACCCTTAAACATAACCTCTTAATCCACTCTGGGTCATTCACTTTCCAGCCATGCAGAATATAATTTATATCCTTTTAAGGTCCCTTTTCACTGCCAGACAGGTGTAAAGCAACATTCAGGTCAGTGAGAATTAGGCCCACTATATGTAAAATATCCATACTATCCACTCAATTTACATTAGAGCAGGGACCATTCTACCTGTGCTTTATAAGCACTTGTCACAAGGTTCAGAGTGCAATCCAGACCAGTAAGGGGTTGTGTCACCACTTGTCCTGCAACCCAGGGTGCCTTATAGTTAAGGCTACGATTTAGTCACAGGTATTTTTGTAAAACTCGCCGACAGGTCATGGGCAATAAACAAAAATTCCCGGTCGTGACCTGTCCATGAATTATACTATAAATACCCCTGACTGAATCTTAAGGGGGTCACTGCTGTGAGGCAGGAGGCACACAGGGGGCACTTCTGAGGTGGGTGTCTGGAGGGATTGCTGCTGGGGTGGTGGGAGAGCCGGGGAGCCGCTGCTGGGGGGGTAGCCTGCGGGGCTGCTGATGGGGGGAGCCCGGGGCCACCCGAAAAGCAGCTGGTCCGGCTGGCCCCAGAGCCGCTCCAGCAGCAGCTGGTGCGGCTGATGCCCCAGCGGCTGGATACAGAGCCGCTCCAGCAGCAGCTGCTTAGGCGGTCCTGGAGTCAGCCACACTGGCTCCTGCAGAAGTCACAGAGGTCGCGGAAAGTCACTGAATCCGTGACTTCCATGACCTCCATGACAAACATGAAGCCCTACTTATAGTGCTTTGCTGCTGGAGGTCTTAGCCTGGGATGCTCACAGCCAGCCTACAAGCATACGGGTCACACATTGAGCGTCCGTGTGCTAGATAGCCCTGTACCAGCAGCCTGTTTACAGCCCCACTCTGGCTTCCACCAGTCTTGGCTACAACCAGCAAGGTGACCCCAACATGATCCTAGTGCAGAGTTTTCCCAAAACCATGTGCTCTGCAATATCCAGCCCTCTCCTGGATAGCACAGAGAAATAATAAGGTTTGTTTTTTTTCTTTTAAAGAGACCAAAGCACATCATAGCATATTAACTGGGGTAGATACACTCTTCCCCTCAAACACAGTTCTGCGTTGTTTTATAGTAAACATAAAACATATTTATTACTAGGACAGAGGTTGAGTGATGCCAAGTAAAAGAAACAGAAGCAGAGATGGTTACAAGCAAATAAAAGTGAAAACACATTTTTAAAAGTCTAAATCTTAATCTAGCAAGGTACAGGTTTTGCTCAAGGGGGTTTCTCTCACCAATCCACTTTCTTCTCAGCCAAGGCTGACTTTCATTCTGTCAGAATCCCAAAATAAACTTAGTGTCCATAGTACCTCTGGCTACAGACAGCGTGATGGGGTCCATCATACCCACATCTGGTTGTCTGCCAGCCCCTGATCAGGCAAACCCTTGTGTCATTCCTCCTGGGTTCCATGGGTGTGACTTGTCCCTCCTCTTCTATCTGAGCTGCCTGTGTTTCTCCTGGTCAGCAAACTTCCACTACTTCAGCTCTGCCTCCTCACTAACACCTGGCCTCCAGCTCTACCCACCTCTCCTCCACTAGCAGCTTTTTCCACTGTAGCCTCCACAGCTCTGGAGGCCATTGCTGCTGCTGCTTCTGGATCATATGGGGAACCATCTGCTTGGTCTTCTGCATGCTCTGTAGGAGAAAAAAGGACTCTTCTTCTTGCCACCTGGTTTGGCCTCTAGCTCCAATTTCTTCTGATTCGCTGCTGACAGACCTCACTATGCACCCAGCTCTTCTAACTTCTTCTTGGTGAGCTTAGCACCTGCTCCTTTGCTCCTCCTGCCTTTTCTGCTTATTACTCATCTTTCCTTTCCTTTCTTCTATTTCCAAAATAAACAGAACACAATCAAACTGTAGCCTTTCTTTGACTGTGCCCTTTCACTTGTGAATCACTTAAGCCTATTTCACCAATACTTAAACTGTAAATCTTAGTTAAATTAACAAGCTGTGTGTAAATCCTTTTTAGATTATACCAATTTCATGAGGTTCAGGGGTGCAATCCAGACCAGTAAGAGGTTGTGTCACCACTTGCCCTGCAATCACTTTGCTGCTGGAGCTCCCAGCCTGGGATGCTCCCAGCCAGCCTACAAGCACACAGGTCTCACCCGGAGTATCTGTGTGCTAGACTGTCCTGGTTCAGCAGCTCTGCCCCCAATAGCCTGTCTACAGCCCTACTCTGGCTTCCACAGCCTTGGCTACAACCAGCAAGGTGACTCCAACACACTCCCTGTCCAAAATTTCCCCCAAACCATGTGCCTGGAATTTTCCAGCCTCACCAGGATAGAGAAATAATAAGGTTCATTGCTCCTTTAAAGAGACAAAAGCACATTGTGACAGTGTACCCCATAAGGCTTTATGGGGGGGTGCTTATAAATGTATGTATGATATAACTGGAATAGGGTTTTGCTACATATGCCATGTAACATATCTATGTAAAGGTTATGATCTGCTGGTTATGTTCATCCTAGTTGTATGCAGGCACCATTTGTGTGTTCAAAGTTATGTATACTTGCTTGATTTCTAAGTATGCTTTGTGAGGCATTTGGTCAGCTTCTTTAGGAAGGAATTCGCAAGGTTAAGTACCCAATCAGGAAGCATTTGGGGAACAATGCATCTTGGAATGCTCCAATCCACATAAGAAGTCTTCCTGGAGACATACAAGATACCATGTGGATAATGGCTTCTGCCTGTAAAGACTGTGAGTCATGCATGGACATGTGACTTGCCCAGGTGACTCCAGAACTCCATCTTGGAGCTGGACTTTGCATAGGAGTGAGGAGGGGGGTTTCCACCCACAAGAGAAAGTCTATTTAAACCCGTGGGAGACCCCTCCATTTTGTCTTCAGCTGGCTAAAGAGAGAGCCTCCCCACACCCCAGGATAATTGGAAGAAACTGGAACAAAGGGGTGTGAGTGATTGCTGGACCCAGGCCAAAAGGAGATTAGTCTGTAAAAGGGAGCATTCTGGAACTGGTGAGGATCTTATCTGTATTCAGTGTTTGATTAGACATAGATTTGTGCATTTTATTTTATTTTGCTTGGTGACTTACTTTGTTCAGTCTGTTACTACTTGGAACCACTTAAACCCTACTTTCTGTATTTAATAAAATCACTTTTTACTTATTAATTAACTCAGAGTATGTATTAATACCTGGGGGAGCAAACAATTGTGCATATCTCTCTATCAGTGTTATAGAGAGCAAACAATTTATGAGTTTACCCTGCATAAGCTTTATACAGGGTAAAATGGATTTATTTGGGTTTAGACCCCATTGGGAGTTGGGCATCAGAGTGCTAAAGACAAGCACACTTCTGTGAGCTGTTTTCAGGTAAACCTGCAGCTTTGGGGCAAGTAATTCAGACCCTGGGTCATTGTTGGAGCAGATGGGAATGTCTGTCTCAGCAAGACAGGGTGCTAGAGTCCTGAGCTGGCAGGAAAACAGGAGCAGAGGTAGTTTTGGCGCATCAGGTGACAGTTCCCAGGGGGTTTCTGTGATCCAACCCATCACACACTACAGTTTATTAACTTAATTATGGTAAGTACACCCTTCCCTGAAAACACAGCACTAAGTTGGTTTATAGTAAAAACAAAACAAATGTATTAACAACAGGACATAGGCTGAGTGATACCAAGTAAAATAAACAGAAGCAAAGACGTTAAAAGCAAATAAAAGTGAAAAAAAAATGCATATAAAAGTCTAAATCTCAACTTAGCAAGGTACAGGTTTGGTCAAGATGGTTTCTCTCACCAATCATTATTCCCAGCCATGGCTGACTTTCCCTCAGTCAGGACCTTCCACAGAAGAACAAGATGCTGGCTTCCCTTGTCTTCCTAGGTGAAAGATCTTTGCCTAAGCAGGTTTCTCATCTACATTCAGTTTCCAGAGACTTCAACCCCTCCTTATTTGAAGGACCCATCTTTCTCAGCTTGCAAGAGCTTTAATCTCTTGTGTCTGTCTAGTGATGGATGCCAAAGACAGCTTCTGTCTTTGCTTATGTCTTCCAAAGTTCAATGACCTTGTTT